ATTCTGCTGACGAACTTTTTAAGGTCAGCGACAATGTCTTATTTCTCTCTGTGTAACCCTAGCTAATTGAGGCGCTCCCCGGGGTTCAGTCTCTGCCTAGTGTCTCACTGAGTGGGCATATCTCAAAGAACATTCGGGCCTGCAATGTTAGGGAGCATGACAGCGCATCCTCAAAGCCCTTCTTCCACTCCCCAAACTGTCTTATATAGACTCCACAGCAAAACCCCAAACTCCTTCTCTAGTCCCAGCCCCAAGGCCTTTCTCTTTCCTAGCTCTGAGGTAGACCAACTTAGCCTCTCCAGCTATGATCTCTCTCCTTATTCTCCTTATTTATTGCAAAATAGAATTTTCTTTAGTAGGTAGGGAAGACTTTTGCATGCTAATATACTTTGCCCTGTCATACATGTGTTTTCTACAAAATACCCAGGCCTTGTAGACTCAAAAAATGCTCATGAGTGAATAAATGATCAGGGTTACCAGCCCACATGCATAATTAAGACCAAACAATCTACTTCTCTCTATCCTCATTACTTCTCCTTAGACCAAACCACCATAATTGGTTGCCTGGCTTCTCCACAGCCTTCGAAGTGGTATTTGTACTCTGAGTTTTGCACTCTTAGAGACCATTTTCCACATAATGGGCAGAGTGATTGTTCAAAAATGTACCTAATGACTGGGTGTGGTGGCTCATACCTGTAATCCCAATACTTTGGGAGGCTGAGATGGGCGAATCACTTGACGTCAGGAGTTCGAGACCAGCCTGGCCAACATGGCAAAACCCTGTCTCTACTAAAAATACAAAAATTAGCCGGGTGTGGTGGTGTGCACCTTTAGTCCCAGCTACTCAGGAGGCTGAGGCATGAGAATTGCTTGAACCCAGCAGGTGGAGGCTGCAGTGAGCAGAGATTGTGCCACTGCACTCCAGCATGGGTGACAGAGTGGGACCCTGTCTCAAAAAGAAAAAAATGTACCTAATGTCATTTAATTCCCCTGTTTGAAACTCTGCAGTGGTTTATCTCACATTATAACAACACTTGAACTCCTTACCCTGACTTGCAAAAGCCCTTTATGGTCTAACCCCTGGTTACTTCCAACATCACATCCCATCCCATATCCCTGCTCCCTACCCATCATGCTTCAGTCACACTGGGGTTCCTTCCAGCACTTTCCACCAGCTGTGCCCTCTGGAGTGCTCTTATCCCTGATCTTCACATGATCAACTCCTTCTTGTCCTTCAAACTTTACCATCAATGTCATCTCTACAGATACACCATCCACAACCTCCTGACCTAGAGTACCTTCCCCTCAACGCTCTCTCTTCACCTTTCCTTATTTTCTGTTCTGGTTTCCTATCGCTGCACAACAAACTACCTCAAAACAATTTGTTATTACAGTATTTCATGATTCTATGCATCAAGGAAATCAAACGGCACAGTGGATACAGCTTGTCTTTGCTCTGTAAGATAACTGTAATGACTGGGAGTTGGAATAGCTTGGGGTTGGCTGAGTCTCTCTCTCTCGCTTGCTCTCTCTCTCTTCTTCCACATCTCTATATGACCGGCTTGAGCTTCCTTCCAACATGGTGACCTCAGGGTAGTTGGACTTCTTACATGATAGCGTAGGGCTCCAACAGACCAAGGCAGAAGCTGCCAGTCCTCTTGAAAGCCAGACTTGAAACAAGTATAGGGTCTCTTCTGCTATAGTCTACTGATCAAAGCAGACCCAGGCCGATTCAGATTCAAAGAGAAGGAAGAGACTTCACCTCTTAAGAGGAAAAATGTAAAATAATCCAAGAGCATCTCTAATATGAGAGAACACATTTTGGCAGCAAGACATTTTCTTATTAATGTATTTGTTTATATGGGTGACTTGCTTATTGAGCAAGTTGTTTTCCCCCTTCCATCATTGCTTCTGGATGAACTATGTTGGTTCTCCTTTTTCTGTCCCGTAACAGTATCTTGGGCAGATCTTCTCGTGTTCCTGTTGCTTTAGCTTATTAAAGGCCCAGCCCCATCTAGGCTGGTCCCTCTAACCAAGACTAACCCTTTCCCTTCCCCAGGCAGGGTCTGGATTTGGCCCAGGGAAGTGGGGAGGGGTGTAGTTTGCCCCTGTACCACCACTCCTCTCTCCTCCTCCTCCTTTTCTCTCCCCTTTTCTCTTCTTTCACACAGATGGGGAGGGAGAGCTTTTAGGAAAGTCCCTGTCAGCTGTGGCCATTTCTTCTCTGGCTATGAATGTTCCTGACATGATGGTGTTCAGATGCTAACTCTCTTGTGGGTTCACCACAGGGCCACCCCGCACCACTGCTCCCTGATATGAGAGGTCCCTTCTGCTCTATTGCTCTTTATCTCTCACCCCACCACTCAGCTACTGCCCCAACCTCCACCCCACAGCCTACCCACTGTGGGTGTGCACAGCTGCAGGCCTCCCTCTTGGGAAGACATGGACAAGACAGCTCAAGGACATTCACCTTCCGCCATGTCCACCTGACCCATGGGCAATGACTGCTGGGTGCCCCAAGGAGTCCCTGCCCTGTCCGTCTCTGCCTCTTCCATCTTGCCCTCCGCCAGCCTCCCTGTCCAGACAGCGTGCGGGCTGATCTCAACAGCAAATCCAGATCCAGGGAGAGGAGGGGAGGGAGCCAGCACCCCAGGACTCCAGTGACCCCATCTCCCTCTCTCTTCCTTACCCTTTCCCAGTCTTCTGCTTACGGAGACTGAGGAAGGGGGCGCTGGGAGATCTAGGGGCATGGCAGAATTGCTTTAACCATCTCTTAATAAATCCTGTAGGCAAATGTGCCTAGTCCCAAATGGTTCCTTTGTTTTAGAACATGGGGTACTCAAGGCCCTTTTTCCTTAGCTCTGAGTCCGGCCACCAATTTGAGGAGCAGAAAAGGCCCACCCAGTACCCTCTGGCACTAGAACATGGACTGTCTCTCCCCTTGCATGTGTGGTCCACGAGAGCAGGGTCCTGTGTGTCTGTCCCCACTGGATCCTCAATGCCTAGTCAGTGTCTAGGACATAGAGGGTGCTCCACAAACAGATGACAAGCAAATCCCTAGGACCTAAATGGCTGGAATGGCTGCCAATACAGCCAAGTGGGCCAGCTGGCTCCTTCCTACCAGTTCCTGCTGCGAGGCTCCTGCCTGCGGATGTGGAGTTTTGCTTCAGGTTTCCAGGAGCTTTTCTGGTTTCTGCCTTGCTCTCTACAGGGGTCACTGGCCTGGGTTGGGAGGCTGCCCGCTACATGGGTGACCTCATGGAGTCAAAAGCCTTGAAGATGCTACCAGGCCTGGGTTGGGGTCCTCAGGGCTGAGCTAGAGGCCTGGCCAGTGGGAGGGGATAGGTGCTCTTCTCAGTTCACAGTAGGTCAAAGGCAATAGCTTAGAACAGCTGCAGCCAAAGAGAGGAGAGGCAGGAGAGGAAGTGCATTTCTTTGGTGAAGTATGTCTCTTGGGGCTGACTCACACCCGTCTATGACCACAGCCAGAAGCACATTCTGACCAGCGTGTCCTGCAGGCTTCCCAGGCCTTGGTGAACAGGGCACCAAGGACAGCTGCCTCAGCACGGCCACCCCACTCTGCTGGACATCCCAGCTCCCCTCCAAGCCCCAGGCAGGCCCCTGTCCCCCTGGGTCCCTGTGGGTTTCTCCTCAGCAGCCTCAGATGAGGAAGTGAGGCTGAGGAGAGAATGGGGGAACTTCTCTTCCCCCAGTACATATAACAATATATAAGATCAAACACACACACATACACACACACTACACACACACACACACACACACACACACAATACACACACACACATACACATACATACACACACACACCCCTTGCAGGTCAGAAGCAGAGGGGAGTTTGATAGTAAATGGTTTGGATTAAAAAAAATAGGCCTGGCATGGTGGCTCATGCCTGTCATCCTAGCACTTTGAGAGGCTGAGGCAGGCAGATCACTTGAGGTCAGGAGTTCAAGACCAGCTTGGTCAACATGGTGAAACCCTGTCTTTACTAAAAATCCAAAAAAGTAGCTGGGCATGGTAGTACATACCTATAATCCCAGCTACTCAGAAGGCTGAGGCAGGAGAATCACTTGAACCTGGGAGGTGGAGGTTGCAGTGAGCTGAGATTGTGGCACTGCACTCCAGCCTGAGCGATAGAAGGAGACTCCGCCTCAAAAAAAAAATGAATAAAATAAATAAAAAAAAAGATTTATTTAAATCCAGGCAGCATCTGCTGGTCCCTGCGTCTGTCGGGCAGCCCGAGCAGGCTGTAGGAGCTGCTGTTCAGTGCCCTGAGACCCAGCCCAGGATGCCTCTCAGGAGGGCCGAAGGAGTTCGGGAGCCCTTGCAGCACTGGGCTGGGGCAGCCCTAAGACCTGGGAGAGGAGGAGGAGATTGTGCTCTTGATGCTGTTAAAAAATGGCTGGGACCACCCTCTCCTCAACTTTGGAACCAAAACTACATCTTGGGAGCTCCTCGTTAGGGGAGGGGTGACCCCAGGGTGCAGTAGGAGCAGGCTGGGTGACCTCGGGGGCAGCCTTGAAGTGGCCTCCACAGGAACAGTCTCCAGTGACCACCCAGGGCCACTAAGACTTGAGACTGGGCCTCAATAGAAACGTGTCAAAGCCAGAAGAGCCATCCAGTCAGGCCCCTCAGGTCAGAGATGAAACGTGAAGGCAGAGGGAAGCCCAGTGCCACTCAGTGAGTTACAAACAAAGCCAGGCCTCTGAACCCCACTTCAGTCTCGACTCTCCATCAGCCATTTCACCTTCTTGGGCCTAAGTGTCCTCAGCTATCAAAAGGAGGAAGGAAGGAGCAAGCTAACATGTTGTCGTGAGCTGTGACATGCCCTCTCGTCGCCTGAGCGAGGCTTTTGAGATAAGGAAACTGAGGCTCAGAGAAGGTGCTGTGCTCTTCCCGTTACACCCCCATCCCGGGGTCTGTGTGGCTTCCGTTTCCGGCTGACGCTCACTGCCCCAGCAGACACACCCCCTAGATCAGCGTTTCCACACTAGAATACTTTATTCAAGAGAATCTGGCTTGGCAGTCAGATGGCCCTGCAGGGACAGCTTGTGGGGGTGCCAGGGCCCTCGGAGAACCTGCTCCCCTGCCACTGCCTTCAGCTGGGACACACAGGCTCCTCCCCTGGTGACTTCATCCCCACTGACTGAGCTGTTTCTCATCCAGGCAGCTCTTTGTCCAGCCCGGGGCCCACTCTGCATGTGTCTCTTAGAGGGGACAGGGTGGTGGAACCTTGGCTGGAAAGAACAATGTCCCAGCACAAGCAGATGGCAAAGTGTGAGGGGAGATCACGGGGCACAAGGAGTGGCAAAAGTCCCCAGACAACCACTGTTCTCCAGAGCTGAACGTTCTGATCTTCAGAAGAAGAGAGGGAAGTGGCTGCATCCCCTCCGCCCGCTGCTGGCCTTCCCACCAGCCAGGCCGTGGCACCCCCAGCAGCCTCCTCATCCCTACTTTGGACAGGAGCTCCGAAAGCAAGGGCTGCTTGTCTGTGCAGAGCCTGAGGCCCAAGAACAGGCAGCAGGGCCCCCTTCTTTCCTTCTCCAGGCCCCTGGAGACCTCCAGGGCCTCTGGGGCCTAGCTTGCCCCTCGCGAGGCCACGCGTCTTGCTTCTTCCGAAGCAGAAGCTCCCAAGGGTCTGTGGCTGGCTTCTCTCTTTCTCTCACGTTGTTGAAGGCACTGAATTCCTGACGGTCCTGTCCCTCCCTGCCCCTCGTCTTGGAGGGAGCGAGGCATTCAGCAGGGAAACAGTTGGCTAATAAATAGAGGGCAGGTACCAGCAGGAGTCACTGAGAGTGTGACGGTAATAAATACACGAGCCGGGGATGCGGGGTCTCTCTCCTCCAAGGGGCTGGTTACCTCCGGGGAACAGCATCGCCGCACCTGCCAGAGACCAAGCACAGATGGGGCGGGTATCAGCATGCTGTGGAGGGCGCAGTCTCCTCCTATGGAGGAGGGGCAGGGCCAGAGGAGGAGCTTGGGCAGGGAGCATGGGGAGGGCTCAGCACTCCTGAGTTCCTGCTTGCTCCAAGCTGAAGAGAAGCTGGGAGCTACCCTTCACCAAGCACTTACCCAGGTGCCCAGCCCTGTGCCAAGCACTGTCTTCTTAACCCTCAACAACCTTCCATGAGGAAGGCACCCTGATTATTCTTGTGAAGATTAGGAAACTGAGGCCCAGAGAGGTAAAGAAGCTTGCCTGTGGTCACATGGCCAGTTGGTGACAGAGCCACATGTGAACCTAATCATACTCCATGCAATCATGCCTCTGATTACCCTAAGACAGCAGTCTCCAAACAGGGGAACGGGTACCACTAGACGCACGTGAGGACTGAGTACCGATGGATTTAAAGAAATCCATTTTCAGCCTCCAGGTCTGCATTGCCTTAAAATTATTTTTGTGAGACAGTGGCTGAGATCTGCTTCTCTAGCCACAACACATCTTGCTCATTCTAAATCCTTATAAAGTGCTTTGCTGCCAGGTAAAAGTATTCTGGGGACATGAAAAAAAGAACAATTTGAGATATTGGTGTAGGTCTTGAGAAAGAAAATATGGCTAATGACTGGGTAACCAAGGCTTTCAACAAAACTGAAGAACAGCTTAACCAAATTGTCAGCCAGGATATCATGAGAAGTAATCTGTTCTTAGCAGAGCACCTTGAGATTTCTGGCAAATAACTTGGAAGGAGTTCAAGTACTTGAGTGACATCTAGTCTCATTTACTTATTTATGTGAACATGGTTTCTCAACCTTCTCATCAATAAAAAAATGATAAACAGGAATTAAATTAATGCAGAAGTCTGTCTCAGTCTGGCAGGAAATAACATTCATTAATGGATTCATTTACTAATTGAAACGAGGTAGCCACATCCATCTCATTGAGATGCATTCCCAATCAAATTGATCGTATTTTTACGTTGAACATTTATTAAAACAGGACATATTTGTGCTGTTTTGACCAAATGGTGCTGCTAAGAATTATTTTGATAATTTATTTCAGGAGAAAATTTAATTTAGGTTTATGCTCACAGGAAATTTAAAATAATTCGAACTCATATATCATTTTTTTGTGGCAGATAAATATGACAAGGTAATCAATAAAAGCCTTCTGAAAATTAAAAGTACTATTACACTAGGCTGAAATTCTAGGGGGTGGGGAGTGAAATGGAAATACAAGTTCCAGGAAAAAAGAAACAATGTAAATATACAAAGGGTTATGAAAGGAGGTGTTCGTGTATTTTTTTTTTTTTTTTTTTTGCTTATTCATTTTCTTAAAAGTAGATGATGGTAAGTATAACATTAAAATGGCGTATTAGGATACACCTGGAGAGTGTTATATAATAGCTTTATATTAAAATATTGATATTTATAATATGCCAGAAAGTGTATCCTTTGTAATGACTTATACTTTTTTTTTTTTGAGACAGGTTCTTGTTCTGTCACCCAGGCTGAAGTGCAGTGGATCGATCCCAGCTCACTGCAGCCTTGACCTCCCAGGCTCAGGTGATCCTCCCACCTCAGCCTCCTGAGTAGTTGGGACTACAGGCACATGGCACCATGTCCATCTAGTTTTTGTATTTTTTTGTAGAGACAAGGTTTCACCATGTTGCCCAGGCTGGTCTTGAACTCCTGGCCTCAAGCAATCCACTTGCCTCAGCCTCCCAAACTGCTGGAATTACAGGCATGAGCTACTGAGCCTGGCTTGACTTATAATTCTGATGAAAATGTTCAATGTCAACTTAAAAATGGGCAAGGGAGCACATGAGCTTTTGGAATTCTTTTTTTTTGAGATGGAGTCTCGCTCTGTCACCCAGCCTGGAGTGCAGTGGCATGATCTCGGCTCACTGCAACCTCCGCCTCCTGGGTTCAAGCGATTCTCCTGCCTCAGCCTCCCAAGTAGCTGAGATTACAGACGTGCACCAACACGCCCAGCTAATTTTGTAGTTTTAGTAGAGATGTGGTTTCACCATGTTGGTCAGGCTGGTCTCAAACTCCTGACCTCAAGTGATCCACCTACCTTGACCTCCCAACGTGCTGGGATTACAGGCGTGAGCCACCGCGCCTGGCCACTTTTGAAATTCTTTCAGGAGATTCCCTAGTGAAATGTCTGAAGACTGCTGCCTTGGGAATTGGAGCCATGGGACACTTTCTGCCTCGGGGTGCCGGCTGGTAAGGCGGACCTGGATGGACTTCACTGCCAGCTTGTTCCCCAAATTGCTGCGTGGGCCCAGAAAAGAGAGGAGAGCATAAACCCTAGGGGGCACATTCCCCAGGATCCCTGTCTTCATGGAGTGGGGCTCATGGGGTCAGGACTTGGGTCAACTCTACTCCATAGCATGAAATAACTTCCTGGAGGCATGTGCGTGGGGGAGGCTTAGCCCCTAAAGGACAGCCCCCGCGTGACTGATGGACTGTGCATGTGAAATATTTTATTTTTTCTATTTACTGTCACAGATTTGGGTTTTCCCTTCTCTCATCCTTCTCTCCCAGCCACACTCAGGCCTGGGCTCCATTCTGCTGCCCACCAGGTATGAAGTGGGTTAGAAGCAGCAAGGGGACCCGAAGCAGCAATGCTCCCGGGAGCCTGCGGCGAGGGGCGCATGTTCCCCAGGGCTACTAGGAAGTCGCCCCAGATAACATTTCAGCTGATGACAGACTTCTCATCACTAGAAGGGAAATTCTAGTTTCCCTAGTGCAGGAATCCTGTTTGTTTGCTCACAGATGTACCTGACACACAGGAAGTGCTCAGTAAATGTTTGTAGGGTGACTAAATGTTTGCTGGACCTCCTGCCCCTCATTCTACACAGAGAAAAGCTAGGCTCACAAAGGTGAAATGATTTGTCCAAGGTCAGTGGAAACCTAGGGCTAAGCCGGGACAAAAGCCAAGGTCCACTGATGCTTCCTGGGCCCTAGAGTCTTGAGGAGGTGAGGCTCCCTGTCCTGCCCCCAAGACTGGCCTCAGTCCTGCCTCTCCCGCTCCCCAGCCTAACCCTGGCGGCAGGGCGGGGCTCCCCTCGGGCCCAGCCTCCTTGCCATCCCTGGGACCCCGCGCACTCACAGGTGGCAGTCTGTGGGCCTCTGCTTCTCTCTCCTCCTCTTCCCCCTGCCCTTGGGTCTCCTCCTGCAATAAGCCAAGCGTCAGGACAAGGTGGCTGGGGACCCCCATGCTAGGACAGAGGCTGGCAGGCCCGAGAATAGCCCCGAGCCCCAGCCAAACCACTTACCTTTCTGGCTTCATCTTCTCCCGCAGAGGCCTAGGGAAACAGACAGAGAGAGGGGCAGAGGACCGTTAGGAAAGCAATAAGTGGGGCTCCCTGCCGCCCGGATAGGTCCCCTCTGACATCCCAAGTCCTGGTCCTGCAGCTGACACTGAGGCCACTAGGGGGTAGCACGGAGCTGGCAAGGGAGAGGTGGCCAGAGCCTGGGACTTCGCTCCCACTCCAGGCTCCGGTGACCTCACCGCAAGAGGGACAAATCAACCTCCTGGGGACCCCTGCCACCCGCTTCTGCACTTCTCGCCTCTTGGCATCAAATGTGGGGTCGTTTCTGTCCGTTCTCTGCTGCTTTTTCTTTCTCACTTTCTTTGTCTGCTTTTTTCCCTTCCTTCCAGGGTGCACTCTGGGAATTTCCTCAGGGACAGGACACGATGGCCGGGCAGTGGACTGGTTGCCTGTCAGGGCACAGCCCCCACTCCACCCGGAGCAACATGGGGAGTGAGCGGCGGGGTGGGAGGAAGGGAGGGGGCAGCAGTCCTGAAGTCACCAGGCATGTCTGGGCTCTGCCTCCCAGGGCTATGGCTGTTGGCCCAGAAGCCAGAAGAAAGGTGTCCCTGTTGCCTGGCTCCTGGCAGGGGACAGGGCCTCAGTCTTTCCTGGGAACAGTGGGTGGAGACATGGGCCAGCATGGTAGCCGTCAGCTTTGGGGCCAGGACATGCTACCCTCGGCTGGTTCCTCCCTTGGGAGCCACGGCAAGGTACCAGGGCCTCTTGGGACTGTCTGGTTGTACCTCTCCATATTGGGCAAGTGAGAGACACTCTTGGAACCTCAGTCTCTTCATCTGCCTGCCCCCAAAGAGTGGCTGTCAGGGTAAAGGGGATGTAGAAGGTGACTCTGGGTCACCAGCCAGCATTGTACCCAGGAGGGTTCATTACCGAGCTATTATATGGATAAGCTCTGGCTTGGAGGGACGGGTGGAAACAAGTTGAGGCAGGGCCTCCAACACTCCAACAAAAGGGGCAGCGATAGCCCTGCCCAGAAGGCTAGGCTAAGCCTGGGGGCTATTAGAAAAGTGGTCACGGCCATGAGAGGTAGCATGAAGGCTTAGGATTTAGGTCAGGGCTCAGAATCCCTCCTCCCACACTCACTAGCTGTGATAAATCATGAAACTGTATTGAGCCTTGATTTTCTCATCTATAAAACAGGGATGACAATAGGATCTACCTCCCAGGGTTGTTATGAGAGCAGGGACCTTGCCCACCACTGCATCCCATCTAGGACAATGCCCGGCATGCAGTAGGTGCTCAATAAATGTATGTGACTAAATGAGAAACAATCAAGTGCCTCCTGCAGGGCTAGGCACAAAATGGGTACACAATAAGTGGTAGTCTTCCCTCCTCCTGCCCCTGGCTAGGGCTCTGGACTTCTAGTCTGGTGCCTTCATCCATGGCCCAGTGGTACCAGGAGCAACAGCTCAGCCCATTTTTCTCTTCCCTGAACCTCGTTGGCAGTGCCAGGCCTGTTGCTCCTGCTAACCAATGTTCCAAGTGTCCCCGGCACAGGCAGCAAGACTGGTGCTGGTCAGAGGCTCTGTGGATTGGGAGGGGCCGTAGCGGGGTGCTGTATCATCAGGGAAGCCACAGTGTCACCCTTCTTCTGCCCCCTTTCTCCTACCCGAGCTTGTCCTTCTTGCTGCTTCTCAGCCCAGTTTGCCCCCTCCTGTGGGCATGCAGCTTGGCCCAGAACTAAGTTCAGACTTGCAATGTCTTTGCCTCCAGGGACCTCTTTCAGAGGCCCGTGGCAGCTGCCTCCCGTCCCAGAGAAGGGGAATGACACGCACCAAACCCCAGCGAGGCTGGGAGGGACCCACGCTCTCTCTTCCCTTGCAGTATGTCAACAGCTGTACCCCAGCTGCTGGGACCAGCTCCCTCGGCAAAACTGGCTGGTCAGGGGACAAAATGAATGGCAGCCACCCCTGCCTGGTCCTGCCCTCTTGGTCTCCCTCAGCCTGGAAAAAAGTACAGCCCACAGCGGGGATGGGGCAGCCTTTGCCTCTGCCCTGGGACCCATCTTTGCTGAGGGTGCCAAGAGCACGGGGGCCTTTCCCTGCTACCCGCCCCACCCCGGAGACCTACCGGCACTCGCAACGCACGTGCTGAGAGAACGTCAGCTCCACGTAGGAGGGCCGGTCCCCAGAGCGGATCTTTAGGAGCTGAAGGAAGAAAGAGTTGATGCCTGGATTGGGGAGTGGCCCATGAGTTTCCCGTACTCTTCTCTCTCTCCTTGTAAGGAGAACCCGATTCTGTTTCCTGTAGCCTGTGGACTACAGGCCCTCACTCCACTCTCAGCGTGAGGCAAAAAGCTCTCTCAGCTGTGTGGGGACCTGAGGGAGGCCCCATCCCTCCCTACCCAGGGGGCACTAGCACAGCAATAGTGCAGGAAGGGGGCCATGTTCTGGAGTCAGAGACCTGTGTTCAGATCTTGACTCTTTTACCTGCTGAACAAGTGAAATAACATCTCTGAACCTCGAGTTCCTCATCTGTGAAATGGGAATGACACCAGCCTTGAAGGACTGAATGATGTACCACTTGTGGCACACCTAGGACAGTGCTTGGCATTACTCAGTAAGTGCTCAATAAACCACTGCGTGTGTGACATGTAAGCTGCACTTGCTTGAAAAGGCACCAAATGCTCCTGGTGTCAACAGGGACTGTAATACAAGCAGATTTCGTTCCAGCTTTAACTAGACACCCTGAGTGTTGGGATAGGGCTCAGCATGAGGCTGAGAAAACTGGTGGGGGTGGAGGTGAGTGGGCTCAGAGCCATCGGGGGGCTCAGGAAGGAAGGGCCCTGGGCTGGGGTAGTAGAAGCACCCGCCTGGGAGTCAGGCTCCAGTCCTGGGACCTGGGCCTATCTTCTTCCCTCTCCAGGTCCCTTCTAGTGGGCAGATTCGGTGGCCTCCTGGGCCGGGTGTGGACCTACCTGCATGGTGACATTGACCGTCTCTACCGGCACACAGTGCAGGTTCTCATCGCCACAGCAGCCGGTGCAGCGCAGCAGGGAGACACACGATGGGCTGAACATGTGCTCCACCTCGCTGGGGTACTCGGACACGATGTCCACCAGCCTCTCCAGCGCCCGGCAGTAGCTGCGGCCCCACACTTCCTGGAAGGGCACCACTGCGAGGAGGCAAGGGGGCTGGGTCAGGCCAGCAGAGACCGGCCCCTCGAAGCCCCAAACCTGGCTCCCAAGGCCCCGCTGGCCTTCCAGGTTCAGCCCCCAGCCCCTTCCGAGCTCCCTCAACTCTGAATTCCTAATGTGATCCCTCCGAAATGCCTGTGGGCCCCTTAGCTCATCTGCTGGATGGAAATCCCCGTGGAACAGAATCTCTCAGGGCCCCAAGCTTTGCTCTGTCCTCAACTCAGGCAACCACATCTGCCTTGGCTCCCTGGAGCTTTGCGGATTGTAGCCTCCGCAGCTGCCCAGGCCCTCTGGATCTTTCTCAAGCCCGACCGGTGCTTCCTCCACCTCGGAGAACTTGCAGAAAACAGTCATTTCTGGAGTCACGCAGGGAGGGTTGGCCTTCCCTTACTCCTCTGCTCAAACACCTTCCACGGCTCCCTCATTTCCTGCTCCACTCTGTGCCAGCTCCTCTGCCTGGCAACCAAGACCACATCCAGCAATGTGGCCCGACCCTCCTCTCCATTGAGTCCAACCAGCACTCACAGTGAGTCACGGCAGCACCGCATTCACTCGCAGCTCTGGGCTTGTGCACTCTGCAGCCCCTACAGCTGCTCTTCTTCCCCCTCCTCTCATTTCTATCCAAATAAATAAAGCCCACTCGCCATTTTCCAAGGCCTGCCTCCCCACCTCCTCTTTGAAGCCTTCCCCAGCAATTCCAGTGTGCACAGATGAGCCTCCCTTGAGCACGGCCTGGCCCCAAGGGGTTGTCTTATCTCTGTCACTGGTGGCTCTTATCTCCTTTACAACCAACCCGAGGCTCTATGAGGGCAGAGATGGATGTACCCGTAAACACAGGCTAAGTCATTCCTGGTTGATTAGATGATAGTTCACCGAGGATCGTCCGGGACATCCCTGACCCCCATGATGATGTCCTGGTGATCGTGATGGGATCTTTTGAGGGCTGATCTGGAATCCCTCAAAAGATGCCGCTCTTTTGGGTGAAGGCCTGGGACCAGGCCCCAAATAGAGGCTCACAGAGAGTGGCCAGAGTCAGACACCTGGCTTCCAGTCCCAGCCCCACACTGGCTGTGTGACCTTGGGGAGATCAGTTAACCTTTCTGGGTAGATCAGTTTCCTCAGGTGGGAAAAAAGAAGGTTGGAAATAAATGGTTGCTAAGGTCTTTCCCTTTCTGACCAACCGCCTGTGAATCAGTGCCTGCAACCCAGCCCAGCCCGGAGACCATGGACAGAGAAACGCCCCCGGGTCTGGGTCATCCTGCTCTGCATCTGATGGTCATCATCAGCTAGTTGGAAAGAATCAGGAGCTGGCTCACCGGGGCCCTGCAGCCTCTGCCATGGAATAATGGCCTCTCCCAGCAACCCCTCATTTCTTCCAGGCCTCTGCCTAGGAGGCAGAAGGGGCCAAAGTCCATTCCACTGAGCCTATGAGGACATGCGCCTCCTGGTAATCTCAGAAGAAAAATAAACTTCAGTCCTAGCAGAGGCCCTCGGGAAAGGCTGCAAACTGGTGGAAAATACCCAGAGGCGGTGTGTCCATGTGGAGCTGGCTAGGCAGTCATAGAGGCAATAAACAGTGTTATCTGCTTGTTTGCTGCTCCACTCTACCCTGCTCTGCTTAGAGGGCACTAGGGCTGGGCTAGGGGCTGGCGGTGGGGGGAATCCATAGGCCTCCCCTGACTCTACCACTCCATGCCCCGGGTACTGCCCCGGAACCCAGTGGGAAACAAGGCCTCTCTCCCCAAAGGTGCCCACAGTGCAGGGAAGCCTGCCTTTGCAGTCCAGGGTCAGAGAGCACCTCCCTATCACCAGCTCCTTGAGCTGTGTGTTTAGTTTAAAATTTTCATGAGCACTACGTGACTCTGAACGTTTAATCTCCACCTTTATGGAAAACATAAATAACAGCAGAGGAATAACGAACTGCCAAAACAACACGGAAGATTCAGGTTCCTGCCTTGGAACCAGTCGTCAGCGAGGGGACAGCAGCAGAGAAGGGGCACCCCAGCCCCCTCCCATCCTGCAGACAGACGCCCACCCAGCTGGGCTGCAGGGCCATGGCCACCTTTGGCAGAACTGGCTGGGCCTAGGCAGCGGCAGAAGGGATTTCCTTTCCTCACCCCACATCCCACCATGCAGACTCCGGGTCCCTGAAACCCTGGAATCTGCCAATTTCCCGGCCCCGTGGCCGAACCACGTTGCGGGAGGGCTGAGAAGGAGGTGGGCTGGAGCCTGGTTTACCTGGCAGCCACCAGGAAAGAGGGCAATTCGTCCCTGAAGGCCCCCGTATGGGTGTGTGGGAGAAACAAAAGGGGCTGGGTGAGGGGCCAGGCTGAGGGAGTGTGCAGTGACCACTCCCAGATGTGGGCCATGTCCCTCAGGAAAGAGCTCTGCTCAGCTGTCCCTGAGAGCACTTCCGCTGGCCCCAGACCTGCTCCGGGAGGGGGTGGGGGTGAGAGCAACGGGAAGCTGTGGCCCCCTCAGGCACTGCCAGAGCTGGGTGGTCCCCAGGGCTGCTCCTGAGGCCATGAGTGGGCCCTCAGCTCTCTCACCAGCCCTGAGAGTGAGCCTCCCACCTGCCTGCCACCACCTGAGATGGGGGAGACTCCAGAAGAGAAATGCTTAATCCTGAGAGCAAGTTTCTGTGGAGGGCACTTGGGGACGAGCCACAGGGCTGGGCAGAGCCACTGGCCACCAGCCCAAGCCCACAGGTGTCCTCTCCATGGTCACTGGCAGGGCACACAGACAGCCTGCCACAAGGGACACCCTGCTCATGCCTGATCAGCCATGGAGCTATTGGGAGCACTCGGTTCTGCCAGATCCATGAGGAGTGCCTGAGGCTTGGGGCGACCCCCAGGGCCTCTCTGAGCCTCAGGTCCCGCATCTGTAAAAATGGAGTACATCGCCTTCCTACTTCACAGCCTGTGGTCAAAACAGAATGACAGAAAATGCCTAACACTGTTCCTGTGAATAGTAATAGTAAAAATCAACGCCCATGGCTGGCCATGCTGCCTCTTGCTCTGGTGTTAATAGGTGGGATGACATTTTCAGATTTGGAGAGCTGGAGTGCAAAGCTCATTGTACTTCTCCTGGTCAGATTGCACACTCCCTGATTGATAAGTGTGACAGGAGAGCTGACCTAACGAATCTACACTTCCAGGCCTCCTCACTTCGAATCCTGGGTGATATGTACACCCATCTCTCCTCCCTGGAGTTAGAGAACAGGTCCCTTTTTCAATCTCGGAAAAAGAAGAAACCATAGACATCACATAGTCTAAGGGTCCCATTTTACAGATGAGGAAACTGAGGCTAAGGCATCTTTGGTAGCTGTGGCCTGACCTACACTAAAAGCACCAAAAAGGGGATAGTGTGGAGGTAGGGGGTGGGTCCTTCCCCAAATCCCAAGGAGCATAATGTTGTGCTGGTTCCAGAGGCACAGCAAGGGAGGCATCCATGAAGTCAAGGGCAGCTGCCTCCTCTACCTGCTCAGGGGTCTAGGGGCCTGAGCCTCAGGTGTCAGAGTACGGCCAGGCCTGGGAGAGGCGGGCTGCCAGGCAGGCAAGGCCAGCAGAGGGTGTTCCCAGCACGCAGATGGCTATCACGCGTGTGCGTGTGCATGTCCCTACATGCCCCCTCTCCCATGGCGCAGGGGAAGCCTCAGCGGTGGCGTGTGGCCGCTCTGCACGTCTTGGAGAGGCAGGGAGGGAGGAGCGAGGTAGGGGGCCTGGCATGGGCCTCCTGCCTTCTGCACGTATGTCTCTTTGGCAAACGTCTCGTTGCCCTTTGAAGATTCCCTCTTGAGGCAACCAGGGCGGGGAGTGGAGGGGCCAGGGAGGGCACGATTCATGTTCTGTCTGTTTATAATCAGTGGAAAGGCATGGTCAGATCCAGGCAGTTCCACCAGGGCTGGGCTGCTGGGGAGGGCCCCTCACCCATTCCTGATCCTCTTGACTGCACACTGCATCCAGCTCCCAGACCCCCATTCTGGCCCCTGGCACTCACTCCCCACTCTGTCCTCCAAGACCCCATCCATACGCTTAAATCATGCTGGGGAAGGGCTCTGAGCCAGCTCGATGAACCCTGGCTATACTGGCCCCAGTCCCACTCTCTGTGTGCTGGTGACCCCAGCCCACACCTCTCTAGTCTCTGGGTCACCATGAGGGGATCTCTTAGGCCCTGCCAAAGTCATCAGCTAGGATATCTAGCTCGTAGGCTCTCCCCAACTTTTATCAACTTGCACCCACACTTTATGCCACGCCTGGGCTTGGGAGAAAGGAAGAGAAGGGCTTGGGGATCATGCAAACCCCCAGCCTGGCCAGCTTACCTTCCACCTCTGACGAGCCGTTCCCAGCAGACAAGGCCCACTGCTATGGACAGAAAGGTACAGAGATGAGCCTGGGACACCTTGGGGCTCTGCACTCTTGGGCCAAGTGTGATGGCAGGAAGGTAGGGGCCCCTCTGGATTCCTTCCCACTTGCTGCACAGGCTCTGCCCTGTCTCAGAGCAGGCTGACCACAACTAAAAACTCACCGGACCCTAGATAGGTTAGGTCCCACCCCTCTCTGGCCTCAGTTTTCCTCATTTGGAAAAGGATGGGAGGCTAGAAGCTTTTGGAGACCCTTGGCCTGCTGCGTCCCAAAGATCTTCCAATCCTGTGGGTCTCCCTTCTACCCAGCCCCCCCAGTTCAACCCTGCTGGGCCCTGTACAGCCCGCCTTGGCTGGGTGCCAGAGCCCAGGGGGAGGTGATCAGCTGGTGGGAGCGGAGGGGTTGGAGCGGGTGGCGCCATGAGCTGGTGCAGCCGGTAACGTTACACCTCTGGCCAGCCCTGCAGCAGGCAGGCGGGTGGCTGGGCTGCTCGGGCTCCTCTGGGACTGCCCAGCCCACTCCTACTCTTGGGCTGGGGCTGGGGACTCCCAGGGCAGTGGGACAACACAGTGGGAAGGGAGCTCATTGGCTTTGTCAGGATTTCGCTGCCCAAGCTGGCTCCCAGCCAGACTCACCCGGCTCCTGGGAAAAGGGCCCTGCTCACTTCCCCAGGCCCTGCACTCAGGACCTCCGGCCACCCACCCAGGAGAAAAGGCACAGCGAGACCCCTTGTCTCATCCCCAGCCCACCCAGGAGCCCACGGCTCAGTCCTGAGCCCTGGTGGGGGCAGGGCCCAGCCTTCCCACCATCAGCCTCTTCAGCTGGCTCCTCCACCACCCCCACCAGGCCAGGTCAGAGGTCCTGGGGACGCCTGGTTGGCCATGGGGCCTCGACCCTGACCACAAGGCCAGGGACCCGCCTGGGATTAGTGGACAGATGCTTTTAGCAAAGCCACCAGGGCTCCAGAGGCCAGACAGGAAACCTCCCTCCCTCCCTCCCTGTGGCTTCCCTGCCCCCACTAAGACAGCCCCCAGGACCTGGGGGACAGCCAGCCTGAGGTCTCTTCCCAAACGAAAGAAGTCCAGCCTGGCCTTTAGGAAGTATGTGGACATCCTTGGATTTGCTGCTCCCTGGAGTGAGTCTGTGATTTCAGAGTCCCCTGCTTCCAGTGCTGGGATAGGGAGGTCAGGGGAGCCGGGCTAGGTGGGGGTAGCTCTTACCTGGGGGGGCACAGCAGGCAGCGCCAGCCCAGCCAGGAGCTGCAGGAAGCAAGGGAACAGCCTCATGGCCGGCATCTTCTCAGACGTCCCGAGCCAGGGGGCTCCGAAGGAAAACCACCATGCTCATCCCCCGGGGAGCCCCTGGCACAGGAGCAGAAGAGCTGAGTGGGCGGCTGGACGCCCCCCTCACTGCTGCCCCGAGGCTCCGGCCGGTGGTTCGAGCATCTTCTGGAAGCCGTGGGGAGTCAGGAGCCCGCAGGTAAGGCTATGGCTGGGGAGCCCGACCGGGAGCGGTCCGGCGGGGC